ATTAAAATATGATTGACAGAATACAGACAATTCTCCCACACCATAAAAGTTTACATATAAAAAAGGCTCAGCTACAAAGGGAGGACTCAGGAGAAGGGCACTGGAGGTGCAGGTAGGAGACTGTGGAGCAGGTATGGAAGAGGAATAAAAATGACTAAAATTATGGAAATGTGCAAAACTGTCAAACAATTTAAAATAATTGGAAAAATATATAAATTAAAACAAACTGATTCAGAAGATTCAGAATAAAGGAGTCTACAAATTAATTCCATGTACATGATCTCATTTGATATTGTAGGCCCCATGAAGTAGGGTAAGAGGAATATTTTTATAGCAGCTATGAAGCAAAACTTTGAATCTGAAAGGACGTATCCAAAGTCACAAGTAACACCAACTGAAACCAGTACTAAATCCTATACCTTCTGCCTTTCTTACACAAATGCCACCTACTATACAACATGTAGTAAAAACAAATCCATAACCTCCCTTTTATAAACAAGAGTCATCCACTATATAATATGTCTTAAAAACAATCCCATAATCTATACTTCTTAATAATCAATCAGGTGTCTTTCCACTAATCACCATCCTCCCTTGATCAACAGGCAGGTTTTTGTTGCGCTCGACAATTTTATTTGATTAAGTTTTCAAGGGAACAGATTTTATCTGAGAGGGGAAAAACCTGGAAAAAATTCTAACATGATTAAGCCAATCCTTATTTCCTCCGTGGTTTACTGTCACCTCTGTGAAATGTTATTCTACATTTATCTAGGGCTACAATTATGAAAACATAGCATTTTTTTACTATCTCTCTATTTAAAAGTGAACTTAAAGTTTGGGAAAAGGCTCAGTTGATAAAAATGCCTACTGTGCATGCATGGCAACCTGAGTTTGTTTCCTTAAATACCACATGAAGAGGAACAGTTTTGAAGCACATTTGTAACCTTAGTGCTAGAGTTAGCAGGACTCGGGGAAGACGGAAGGAACCCTTGTGCTTACTGACCAGATAGTTTACCCAGCAAGCTCCAGATTCTTAAGTCCCTTTTCCAAAATAAGGTGGAGAGTGATAGAAAAAATGCTGTGGGACAATGGTCTGTACCCTGCCACTTGTATTTTAAATAAATGCTGTTTGGCCAGTAGCCAGGCAGGAAGTAGAGGCAGGGTGACCAAGCAGAAAGTAGAGGCAGGGTGATGGGAATTCTGGGAAGAGAAAAGATTCAGTCTGCAGTCGTCATCTAGACAGAGAGGAAGCCAGACACAGAGGAAGCAATATGTGACTGCCTTGCTAAAATAGGTACCAAGCCACGTGGCTAACACAGACAAGAATTATGGGCTAATATAAGATATAAGAGTTAATAAGAAGCCTGAGCTAATAGGCCAATCAGTTTATAATTAATGCAGACCCCTCTGTATTTCTTTGGGACTGAACGACTGCAGGACAGGGTGGGACAGAAAACCTCAGTCCACAGAAAATCCTCAGAGTTGACCTCTGTTCCTCAGACTTATGTGTACACAAATATACACATGTCTACATATAACAATCAGACATATGGTACACATAAACAATTTAAAATCTAGGCAAACAGCCTTAATTTTACAAAAATAATTTTAACATTGTTTCACAGAAGATATCCTTTCAACTTAGATTAGAATATAATTTTTCTTATGATAATTTTGAAATGTGCACCAAAGTGTCTAGACATCATAGACAGTACATATTTCTCACAGATTTGTTATTAAATCTGTTCTTTTACATTGTCATCCAAGTATGCATTCTAATAATTCCCACACTCTTATCCCAGCCTCGATCTATCCCCTTTTACCTCTCTTCCTCCCTTTCAATCCTGTCTCCACTTACCAGTTCATTTTTTATATTCATAACTTTGGGGTTTGATTTGTGACCCATTTAGTTTAACTAGGGCCATCTGTATGAGGATTAGATCAGCATTAGCCATTAAAGCCTGGCAGGATCACTAGTGGGTTCACAACTAAAGGTAGTGCTCACCCTTTCCCTGAATATATCAGTAGGAACTAGTGAAGTATTAAGGAGTCCAGCCCCCAGAGACCCCTCTAGATCCATCTCAGATACTTTTATAGTGATGTCTTTCTTGTTCTGAATTCATCCCTTATGAAATGTTCTCCAAATTTGTACTCAAAGTTGTTGATTGGGTAGGATGTAATACTAATTACAATCCTCTCAGTGTTGTAACTTTTATATGTTTCCAAGAAAAAGAACTTCCCAGGATTTAAGATTTTAAAAAAAAAATCTTATGTCCTCTCAATTAAATATATGCACATAAAATTAATTAAGTCTTTCCTTGTGTTGAGGTACCTCTCAAGCTCAGGTTTGAAACTTGATCCTCAGTGCAGCAGTGTTAGGGACCTTTAGGAGATGGATGATTGGGTCTCTGCCCTCATGAATGACTAATAGGCTATCTTAGAAGAAAAGACTTTGTTATAAAACCAAGCATCCGTGATGAGTTTGCTCTGTCTTTCCACCGAGGCCCTCCGACATGTTGTCATATAGAAAAGGTGTTTTCATGAGATATGAGCAAACGCAGGTGTCATGCTCTGGGACTTCCTTGCCTTAACATCTCTCTGTCTGGCCAGGCTGACTTAAAACTATTCAGTAACCCTGACTGTTTTCATAGTAAATGTCCTCATGCCTTGGCTGCAGTAGCACTGAGAAAAGCATGCACCATGCCCAGGAAAGAATTTTTTCTCTTTATAAACTATCCAGTCTGTGGTATTCAGCGATAACAATAGAAACCAGACAGCACAGGAAAATCAAGCTCAATAAAGATATACTAGGGGTATAACAAATGTTACGGTTGGTTTTATTTTACATGGCTTTTGGTTTCTGTGAACTGCGACCCTCTTTATTTGGAAGTCTGTGCTAACCTTTTAGGCTTATGACAGTTTCCACAGTTTTGTCCTCAGTTTGCTGAGTCCCTTGCTTCAGGATCTCTGACCTGATTTTATGCCATAGTCAGTTAACGCTTACTTCTTCAGTGTTTCTTTCATGTCGTGTGCTGGTGTATGACAGAGAAGGAAAGCTCTTTAGGTTACAAATGCTTCTGCTTTAGGAGGTACTTGTTCTTCCTTCTTACTGCTATGCTGTCTTCCTGCATCCTGTAAACATTCATCTGCTATATTGTGTAGCCAAACTCAGAGACAGGGTTTTAGGATGTGCTTTGCAATGACAGTTTGGTGATCTCTTAACTGAGAAATGAAAATAGATGTAGACAACATCAGACTATTCTGACTGTTTTGTTGCAGCTAAGGTACTTCAAATATCTCAGATCAACATCTTGCAAGTGAAGTAAGCAGAAGCATTGGGAATTAAGTTGTTAGGATGTAGAATTCTCTGACTATCAGGAAATCAAACGGCAGACTTGTCGGCCTGGCAACAAGATGTCAACATGACACTGAGTTGACTCTAGCCAGCATCTTAATTTACAACTAAAAGTCCCATTAAGAGGTTGGAGAAATGACTTAGCACTGACTTGTCTTCCAGAGAACCCAAGCCCATTTCCCAGGAGCTCAAAAGTGTCTGCAACTCCAGTTCCAGGGTGATTTAACAACTTCATCTGACATCCATCGGCACTGTACACAAGTGGTGTATAGACATATAGGCAAAACACTCATAAACATAAAATTAAAATGATTTTAAGAGAAAATTTAAATCTCTATAACATCTTCTTTCACTCAGCTCATTGAGCCAAAAGTTGTACCTGAATGATGCACATATAAGGCCTGCAGCCCTTAGTGTACTGTTCTACTGGATTACCGAAAAGGTCCTTGGCAAAGTCAGTGTGCTTGGATCATTCTGTGTTGTGAAACCCTCATATTTAATTAGAAAAAGTCTCTGAGAGAAAATGAATGCAGGGCTTTTGTAAAATATAGTGTCACTTAATTTCAACTCTGATAGCACAAACACAAAAATGCAACCTCCAGTTGTGGCTATTCTATGTTGCATATCACAGAAAAAAACCTAATTTCAGCAAACTGAAAGGGATATTAACAGAATCACCACTACCATTAAAGATGCTTCTTAGACTAGCAGTCTATATCGATTTTTAAAAGCTTTTTGAAAGAGAATAACATTCTCTAATATCTCAGGATATTAGAGACAGAAATTTAAGACTAAGCCATAAACATGGGTTGTAATTACAAGGTACTATTATTAAAACATGACTATTCTAGAAATAATTACCTTTATGAGACAAAAGAAATCACAGGAAAGTATAAAATTTGATTAAATGTCTGAATAGTCCCACAAATGTGTAGAAGGTAATAGTAAAATTTAAACTCTAGAAGCATACCTAGATATTTCTGCATGATTTTTTTTTACCACAAAGTCCTTATTTATGTATCATGTGTACACCTTATTGATCATTCAGAATCGAATTGGCATAAGTATATCAATGGAGAGTACACAATGTTCTATAATGAACTCCAGTGAACTTTGCCCATTGATATTCATATATATTGCAGAAATGAAAGTCTGGCTTGCTTCTATAGGTCATCAATAATGACAGTGAAGCATCTTCCTTGTTTGTAGGGCCCTGTCTTTCCTGTTTCTTGAGGCTGAAGTACAGGATGCAAGAATTGTTTACGCTAACCAGCTTAGCTTCCCCTGCTCATTCTGGCAGTGGAGGGAATTAGTTAAAAGCCTTGTTTCTGTCATTGCTATGATAATTTCACCAGCTAAGAAGGTCCTCACAGGTGCCCTAAATCTCCTTCCTTCTGTCTGTCAGGGTTCCCAGCTCGATACCCCCTACATGGAGGCTCAGGTCGCTGGCGCCAGGCGGTCAACATTATGATTTCACTCCCAGGTGGGAGGGGGGCTCTCATCCTCTTGCCTCCAAGTATATAAGCCTACGTGTGCTGAATAAAGATTGACATTTACCCTTTGGGTGAATGATCCAATCTTTCTGTGTGTGTGTGTGTGTGTGTGTGTGTGTGTGTGTGTGTGTGTGTGTCTGTTCAACTCCTAGGATAATGATCCAGAGTCGTGGCTGGTACAGGAGGCGTGCCCTGTACTGGAGAGTGAGGTATCACAGAAAAGTGTGAGCAGCAATTGAAGGCCCCACTGGGATTGAAGGAAAACAGCTGCGTTCTGCCGTCTGTAAACTCACCCACGAACGTCTTGGGTAGGTAATAAGCCCATAGGAGTCACCCCACGAGAAAACTGGCCAGTTTCGAAGTGTGCAAATGTGCAGGTATGCTAAGGGGGCGAATTAGCTTGGTTTTTAGAAGAATGGGTGCCAAAAGATCTGATCCGGAGCTAAAAGGCCAGTGGGCAGATCAGCTGCTGGATTTTGTGAAGAGGCTAGGCACCAGGATCAAAGGTGGCACAGCACAGGAGATCCTATAGACGAAGACAGGGCCCTACACTTGTTCCTACATCACTGTGAGGGAAACCAGATGCCACATTATAAGGATATTTAAACAAGCTTGTCAGTGTTACAGCAGGAGAGAAACTGAGTCTACTTGTCAAGAACCAGTGTTAACTGGCGAACCGTGTAAATCAGCTCCTCTGCGTAGACCTTTCAGCTTCTGATGTGTTTTAATTGACAGTTCCTGGCTCATCTCTTGATGTTAGTAGCCCAAGAAGAGAGCATATCTCTAATAACCTCCAGAACTTTATAACCTCCAGAAACAATATGAGTTTGGAAATGTTTTGTTTTAAGAGGTTATTTCGGACTATTTTGCAACAATTTAAGACTTACGCTCAAACAAATCAGTAGGATTAATACTCCTCTCATATCTAAATTTGTTTTTAGGTATGAGACTCTCCCAGATAATTTGTTAAGAGGTACAAAGAACTGAAGAGAATTGAAGGGGAAAGTGAGGTGATGAAGCATCAGTTCCTGCTGCACCGTACAATCTTGGCCCTAGTGACTTGGGGTGGAGCATCCTGATGGGCGCTGTGATTTTCTCATACTTTGCATTATGAACAGAACTGTTGAGAACACCTGAATCGCAACAAGGCATAGTTTTTATGTTAGGTGTAATAAGCATAAAGAGTGTCAAGGTTTTTTCTTCTGGTGTGTGAATTGCTACTGCGCCAGTAGGTTCTTTGGAAATTAAATGACAAATGTGCTGCTATATGTCACAACTGTACACTGCAAATGGTTGAGCAGAGCAAAGTAAGAGAGAACGGGTTAGGACCTAAGATTTGGGAGATCTTACCCACTGGGAGCTCATCTCTCATCCCAAAGCTCTTGCTCGTCACCTGGGGTGAAGGCAGCATACTTGAGGAGTTATAAGATGATGCAGAAGCTGGGAAATGTCATGGCTGTGGGCACAAGAGGCTTTGGGGAGTGACGGGGTTTATGGAGTGGAGAATCAAACAGAAGATGCCAAAAAAGGAATCTTAGAAGGTGATACAGATTTCATTTCAGAGTTATGTGCCAAAGAGGCATGAGCTGGGGTGGACCTTTAAGGAAATTTAAGAGTGTAGACATGACTTAAAATGAAATTTCATTGGAACATGGGTACTTAACAAGAAAAAAAACTTCCTGATGTATATGAAGAAAAGAAGTGCAGTTGAGAGCCTACACAGAGGCCTTGGGTTGACACAGAACAGATTCTATACACATATAACATACTTTGTGAAAGCCTTCCAAGAACAGAGCACCTGGGTGGTGGTTGGAGAGGGGACAGCAGAACTTTTACCAAACAGCGACCAGTTCTGTGGATAAGAACAAGCTTTGTTGTGTCTTAAACAGATTAATGTTGAAAAACAGCATTTCAATAGGAAAACATGTTAAATTGATTAAGCACATCAATAAAACAAACAGCTATGATTTAGTGTGTGAGGACAACAAACACGTCTTCCACACATCTGGTAACTTCTTCAAGAAAAAGAATCCATCTGTTGTATTTGGGGGTGTTCAAACTCCTTGGCAGAACTGATGGAATATAGTTGGCATTTGATAAATATTTCCTCAATGGAAAAATAAAGTTATAATAATTCTGGTGGTCAGGTTATGAGATTCATTATTTTGGTCCCTTGAGAATCTTGCTACTCGCAAGACTTTTGCTTTGGGCTTTGGGATGGTTGGATTTGCTGTTGTCACCGCTGCTGGACGAGTCCCAGCAGAATAAACAATGACTTCTCCTTGTACTCTAGCCTGGGATTGTTCACATGGAACTGGAAAATCTCTCTAGTGCCATCCAGATTTGCAATTATCTCCGTGGAGTTTGCTCCATTTTGCAAGTCAAATACCCAAAGATTTCCCCAGTGTCCATAGCTAGCAAAGTGAAGAATTGGGCTTGAACACTAACATGTTGGCTGCAACCCAGATCTCTTTCCACCCTGCATGTTTACCAATAAACCTGTACCAGCCATGCACCTGGTTTCCAGATATTGGAATAGGTGTGTAATGTATGAAAAGAATAACTATTTTGACCATGCTTAAAATTACAAAATATGTCAATAAGTTGGACCACTAGCTGAATATGCTAGGAATTGATACTTTATTTCTTACCCAGGTATTGCTGCTGTAGATTTTTGTGTCTTTTGTCATGCTTCTTGAGTTTAACTGAAGGGCAAATTTAGGAAAAAAGAAACAAAAAAGACTTTCCTACTGTTATTCTGGTAGCCATTCCTTCATCCACATTCTGTTCCTGACAACCTACTAAAGGGGGACTCTCAGATGAATTGACTGTCTTTGTATCCCCTGATTCACATTCCCTAATGCCTATAGTTCCTTAGCATTTGTCTTCTGGCTTCTCATTGCATATGGTGGAAGTTTTGGAGTACATGACAGTGTGAGTCTTTCTCTGCTCCTTCTCAGTCTCAGCAACACTGGTTTAGCAACATCTGTGACCAAGGCTCCAGCAGGATTAGCTCTCATACCCACACAACTAGCTCTTGTGGAACCTGATAAACTGTCTCTATCACCTCTATGTTTCAACCTGAGAGAAGAAACAGCTTTCTATTATCCTTAAACTCAGAGCTTAATCTAACTTTCTGCTTCCCTTATGCAGCTAATAATTCTCTCTCTCTCTCTCTCTCTCTCTCTCTCTCTCTCTCTCTCTCTCTCTCTCTCTCTGTGTGTGTGTGTGTGTGTGTGTGTGTGTGTGTGTTTATATCTCCTTAATTCTTTTCTAGCACCTGTGCTTTATAAGCTTTTTTTTCCTTACAGGATCTCCCCTGGTGGGACACAATAAGGAAAATGCTCTTTCCAAAGCAATGCATTAAAATGAAAGAGAGAGAGAGAATGAAAGAAAAAGAGAGGGATGGAGGGAGGAAGGAAGGGAGACAGGAAGGAAGGAACGAACGAACGAACGAAAGAATTTTCACATCAGAGATTTTTAAATTCAGTAGTAATGGGATTTGAAAGTAGAAAGTTCTATGTTACAAGAGGTTGTCCTGTGCATTGTGGGATACTTAATAATATTCGTCCTCAATTCTACACCCCAAGCACAGTCGTACATATATGCTTACTTATCTCATCTCTGCAACAAAATAGCTGGGCAAAGTAACTTAAGAGTTCACATAAACTCACAGATCCAAGGTATGTTTCTCCATAGCACAGTAGTCCATGGCAGGACCTGGAGGAAGCTGGTCATCTAGAATCCACAGTCCAAAGTTAGGAGGCAGAGTGATGAATTACTCAGTTCCCACTTGTCTTTTTATCAGGTCTGAATGTTAGGTTGGGTCAACCCATGTCAACTAATCCAATCTAAATAAGCCCTGGCAGACACAGCCATGGGTAATTTAATTTAGATAATCTCTCAGAGGCATACCCAGAAGCTACTCTACAAGATAATTCTAAATCCTATGAGGCTGATAGTGTTAACTATTATATAACCCCTCTACACGTTGTGACAATTAAGTCTGTCATCAAACTGATAAATTACCCCTACGACAATACTATCCCAGGTTAAGTAGCATCCTACATTATATTAATCTTATGCCTTACAGAGATATTCATGTCTGTATCACAATTATCCCACAGCTTGTATTTGTATCATTCACTACAATTCATTTTTCATACACATGAACTCAATTAAATTTCACATATATAAGCATTACATGAGATCAACAGTCAGAGTTACAAGATGCCTTCAAGAGTAATGACTGTAAATTAGTAAAGACATGGCTAATGACTGGGGAAATCGAAATTAATTTAGTTGTTGGTCTACAAGTCTCCTTTTCCAGTGGTTCTCCACCTCAGATGACTTTGTTTCACTGCCCATTAACAGGTGACCATACATAGATAGAGCTTTGGTTGTCACATGTGTGGAGTGTATTCTTATCAGTTACTGCACAAATGTCAAGAATGTTATTCTATCATTTGTTCTCTACAGCACAGAAGCATAATCCAGGCAGGATTATCAGCCCCAGATGCCAATTATGTCACAGTTGAAACGTCCGCTAAGCTCTACTGTGTCCACAAGCTGCTATTTTCTCACCCTTTCTGACCCTCACGGAGCATTTTCCTTTGCACTCATAGAGATAGAATGAAGTCTCAAATTTACAGTAGCTCAGACTTAAAAGTGTTCAAATCATTCTAAGCTTATTTTTAAAATTTTAACATTTCTGCTTCTGTCTTCTATTGTCTTTGTTTTCTTTTCTTTTGTCTCTGTCAATACAAAGTTTAGCAAGAATTTTTCCCTAGTTTTAACTGGAAAGCAGTCTTGAAAACACGATTTGGAAGGCAGTGTCTCATAGATGATAGCAGACAAAGGAAGCATTGGTAACCACTCTGAGTCCTACTACTTTAATGTATTAAAGAAAATTATAAAAAACATTTTTGAACAGCTATAAAAACTTTACACTTTTTCGTTTCTGACCATCAATAGTTTGAAGAGTAGAAGCAGAAAATTTATATTATGGTAAGATAAGTGTGGTAGTTTGAATAAGCATGGCCTTCATAGACTCATGTGTTTGAAGGCTTGGCCCAGAGGGAGTGGCATTATTGGGAAGTGTGGCCTAGTTGGAGTGGGCGTGGCCTTGTGGAGGAAAGATGTCACTGCTAGGGCTGGCTTTGAAGTCTCAGAAGATCAATATAGTCTTCCTGCTGCTGATGGTAGATCAAGAGGTAGAACTCTCAGTCACTTCTCCAGTACCATGTCTACCTTCAGATGCCATGTCTCCTGCCATTAAATGTCTTCCTTTATAATACTCAGCACGATCATGGTTGTCTCTTCACAGCAATAGAAACCTTAACTAAGACAATAAGAAAAACAAAGGTATATACTATCAAAATCCCTCTGCTATTGTTATAGCAGATCAAGTTGCCAATCAATTATAATCTCTTTTACTTTCATTTTCCATTTTACTGTTGAAATTAATCCAGAGGAGCACTGCTTTGGAGGGGTATTAATTTTTAGGCATTTATATCACATGTATTGATTTATGGAAGATGGCGAACATCAAACATTGAAGAGTCACATCAGCTGTAAAAAACTCTCCTGCTCCTTCTTTAGAGTCGCAACCTCTGCCAAATCCAGTCCAAAGTCTGTTCATTTATTGAGTCATCAAAGTTTTGCCTTTTCAATCATAGCATAAAAACTGCATGCTGGACTAAATAACCTCTTATATTTGAGACTTGGTTATAAAAGTAAGTACCTTTGTGATTTTTTTTCCTGCTATCTGGATGATTAATTACTTCTTATGAAAAACATTACTTTTATAAGTCTACCACAGCTTTTTCTATTAACTGAAAGTATTTTTTGCTGTTTATTGAATGATAGATGGAAGGTTTCTAATTTACTAATGATCATAGATACAGTTGCTATAAACTTCAG